CAAACTTAAGAGCTAGGATAGTTTGCATAGTCCATCACTCATGATCAAGGATTGCCTTGATCTGTCGAATCTTGTGCCTATTGTCTTGTCCATCTTTGAGAAAAATGAGCTTTTGCCATTTTGAGCTCATTTCTCTCGGCCTTGAGGAGCTTTCTCTCCTTCTTTAGCTGATCCCTCTACTGGATCAGTTGATCCCTTAGCTCCTTCGATCGACAAGATCAGCCTTCTAGTCAATTAGGAGATCTCTCTCTAGCTGCGGCGTGGCATTCACCTCCTTCAGGGCCTTGATGGTACCTTCATGAGAATCCAGAAGCTGGCGGTTCAGCATGTCCACATCGTAGACCTTTTCTTCAACGGGTGTTGGAATCGGTATATATCCCTACCAAGTCCAATATTTGAAATCGTTAGATATGCATGTGTTTGCAATCATCATGAATCGTTAGATATGCATGTGTTTGCAATCATCATGGATGTGTTTGGAATCATACTTGGTTGCTGCTCGTGTCGGCTTCGTCGGCATACACCGCGAAGTTACAATAAAATCTGTAGTGGTTGTGGAATGAACTCATCGGTGCAAACTACAAAAGAATAACAAGCTAGTGTCAAAATAATAAGTAGAGAGTATGAACCAGAACTAGAGTAACTAGATCATGGCAATGTACCGAAGACATTTTCATAGACATTGGTCATTAGAAGTAGAGAGTACAAACTAGAACTAGAGTATGAACTATAACTAGAGTAACTAGATCATGGTGTACCAAAGACAATTTCATAGTTGACACTAGTTATTAGAACTAGAGAGTACGAAGTAGAACTAGTCAGTGTCAAAGCTTACATTTTGGCACTATCAAAGCTTTGGAGCTATCATATTAAGTTGTGAACCCTAGCTAATCTCCTACATTTTGGCACTAATTATTAGAACTAGAGAGTATGAACTAGAACTAGAGTAACTAGATCATGGCAATGTACCGAAGACAATTTCATAGTTGACACTAGTCGTTAGAACTAGAGACTATGGACAAGAACTAGTCAGTGTCAAAGCTTACGTTTTGGCACTGCCAAAGCTTTGGAGTTGTCAAACATTTTGGCACTGTCAAAGCATGCATGCTAGCTAATATATTACATTTTGGCACTATTATAGCTTTTTTCAAACCATTTTGCCCTCCAAAGTCCATTAACTGAAACTAGCATGAACCCTAGCTAATCTCCTACATTTTTGGCTCTCTCAAAGTTTTTTTTCTAACCATTTTTTGGCACTGTCAAAGTCCATTAATTGAAACCAGAGTGAGCCTTAGCTAATCTCCTGCAATGCCGATATTAAAGCAAACAAATCAAGAGGGAGATGCTCACCGAAGATTGGAGCCGTGGTGCGTCGTCGCCCACTTGTGTCTCCGCCGCTGTCACCCGTCGTCATTGCCAAAACCCTACATTTGGGATCAAATAAAGAGACTCAAAAAATGGTTGGCAATGGCAGTGAGAGGGGAAGTGTAGATGTATGATAGCGAGGGGGAGGTCTAGAAGAGTGCCTGAGCATCGGAAATGTGTCGAGTGGGGTGACGAAGTTGTGCCCCCTAGGTTTTGACCCGACTGAGTCTGAAATGTTGGGCTAGGCCCAATAGGCCGGTGTAGAAAATATAATTGATTTTTTTTATAAAAGATTAAAAAATAAAAGACTTAAAAAAATACTCGTAATAATAGAAAGACTTAAGAAATAAAAGACTCATAATAATAGAAAGACTCAAAATCTAAAAAGATTCAAAATAATAGAAAGACTTAAAAACAATAAATAGACTCTAAATAATAAAAGACTCAAAACTATAAAAAATACTCAAAAACAATAAAAAGACTCAAAATAATGGAAAGTCTCAAAATTGTAAAAGATTCAAAATAATAAAAGACTCAAAAAACAAGACTCAAAATAATAGAAAGACTCAAAATTATAAAAGAGTCGAAATAATAAAATAGTAAAAACAATAAAAAGACTCAAAAACAATAAGAAAAGACTCAACAGGTTAAAAGAATCAAAAAAATTAAAAAGACTTAAAAACCATAAAAAAACTCAAATAATAAATTACCCTCAATTATAAAAAAGACTCAAAAAACAATAAATACTAAAAAAATTATAAAAGGTTTCAAAATTATAAAAGATTCAAAATAATAAAAGTCTCAAAAACAATAAAAAGACTCAAAATTATAAAAGATTCAAAATAATAGAAGAACTAAAAACAATAAAAAAGACTCAAAATAATAAAATTACTCAAAAAATAAAAATATTTAAAATAATAGAACTCAAATTATAAAACATTCAAAAAAATAAAAGACTCAAAAAAAATAAAAAAAGGACTAAAATTTTTAAATGATTAAAAAATAGGAAAATTGGGTAAAGGAACTCAAAATTATAAAGAAACTAAAAAAATACTCAAAATTATTTTCGGCGTGCTGGTAATTACGATGCCAACACTGAAACTAATTAGCTACAACGTTGATAGAAATTCAACGCTAGCACTAGCTTGTGCCTGGTCAGTACAAATGGGCACACCGCGCCACAAAGTAAAGTTCAAGATAGTCATTTATCTACTAGTGAGGCATCAAGATAGATGCTACGACACAATTAACACAGCGTTACCACGATGCACTTAACCTGAAGTTACCATTTCTCATGCGAACCCATCCCGAATCATCTTCTTGCACCCCCAAATCCTTAACAATGTGTATTGCCGCAAAATCCCCACGTCAGTTGGGTCCTACCTTGGGGCAAGCGCACATTCGAGTTGCGATCCAGGCGGGATCTTCTTCGGGCATCTGTGGCAGGCTTGTGCCTGGGCAGATCATGCGATTTGGCAAGCTCGATTTCATCGATGACAACGCAGCGTGGCATCCTACCTCTGGCATACACCCTGAAAGGTCGACGCTCTCCATGGGGTGCTTGCACTTCATGGACGATTCGATGACTTCAGACTTCTGTGCCTTTAAATCCTTAACAATATGTATTGTTGCAAAATCCTTGTGCGAGGGAAGGGAACCGAAGGTCCCAGAACTGGCTTTATAATATAAAGAGTGACACCATTTTGCAGGCGGACCCTAGAAAAGATAAATATTACAAACACATCCTCCCAAAATGCAAATATGACCTCGACAGTTAAAATAAAAACATAAACGGGTCCTCGCGCTACCGGTGAACTCGTTAGAGACGCTATGGCCACCGCCTCTGGCCATCACCTTGAAAAGGGCCTACCTAATGAAGGTTGAAGGAGGGGACAGGGGTTCCTGCCAGCAAATCCACCCGAGGCCGTCAAATCATCCTAGCCACCCATGAAGCTTGCCGGGGCCTTGTGGTAATTTGATCTTCAACCCCAGAAGCTGAGGTTGGACCAGATAAAGAAGATAGACAATGAAAACCCTAAGAGCTATCTTGATATTCCTCCTAATCACAAGATTCGCATCATCCACACCAGGATTCGGGCACCTCTCAGGCAATACCACTGTGGCAACACGAAGAAGGGGAACACACATCTCCTGGTCGAGCCATATCAGGCTATCCCATGAGCTTATTGGGAGGGAGATCGAGCCCTTGCTAGCCTACATCGCCAACCTTCACCCTGGATGAAAACAGAGGGAGGAAGAGGACCTCCGCCTGAGAGCACGAGAGCAAAGATCCAGAATGGCATAACACCAGCCGTTGCCAAGGCAAGTCCTAGCACAACTAATTAATCTACATCTACTATGTACAAGAAGATCTCGATCCCCTCTCCCTATCCATCTCCGCCCGGCAGCATTGTCGGTAGAGTCATTGGATCGGGCTAGGGTACCTTGTGAAGCTCTCAAGCAGAGGGACTAGAAAAAATGAGAGTTCGTATCGTCCCCTCTTGTAATCTTCTTTCCACGATTCCATGTTAACATATTGAAAGATGTCATAACTGTTGTACAATGGGTCATTGGCTTGCCTGGTTCCCTCCCAGATACAGCCATGGCAGGGAGGCCGAGCGTGCCCTGGGAGGCTGTGATGTGGAAGGTGGCACGATGGTTGCATACAAGGAAGGTGCACTCCTTATGCTTGCCGTGTTTGTCTCATAGTTTAGATTTTTTTTCTTTAATTAACTTTGTAAGAGGATTACCTATCTAGTATCTTTTGCTCCTTGCGAAAAATAGCTCGTTGCAGCTATTTAGTAATAAAGGTGTCGCTACAAGCATCTTAGATGGAGCATATATACACATGTATATAGAGCAAAAAGTATTTTCCAACTCAAAAAACTGAGAGCGCGCGTACCATATAGAGCGCAAGTTAAAACACTGGGATTGACTAGAGGTAAGTCGACTGATATGTTAATTTGGATGTACCAAATGTGTTTCCAGCCATCTGATGCAAGGAACGGCCAGATGCCTTCTTCATCCTTCCGACGTTCTGTTCATCTCCCCCGCGCCCATCGCCGTATCCCCCTGAAACGTACTCCCTTAGCACAAAGTTGAGTCATCTATTTTGAAACGAAGGAAGTACTTTTTTTTATTTGGAGGGCTATCATTAGTCATTAGGGGCGCCCGGGCCCACCCTGAAAATCAGGGCGAAAGTTTTGATTAATGGAGAAGGAAGGTGCGAAAGGTTACCTAGAATTGATTCGTAAGTAGCATTTTTGCCCCCTCGCGTACGCTGGCTGCGGCTCGTACCTGGCGGAGGCCTTCCCGATGTCCCCGGGGCGAGCGAAGCGCCGCCGTCTGCGGCGCCTTGGTGGTACACGCTACCGCCTCCTTCCATCTTCGCCGAATTGGCTGACCACATTGAAAAAACTGATCGTGCAGCTAAACTGTAAAACCCCATCAAAAAACAGGAGTCCCTATCTGAAGAAACAGAATAACCCGTGAAAAACAAAGGCCGTGCCGGCCAGAAGTCTGGAGTCTCTCGACGGACCCAATCCAAACACCTTGGCAGCGTCAGAGAATCGCAAGTCGAGCGCACGGAAAGTACAAATTCTCTCGTTGTTTACGGCTCGCAATTGAAGTCCCGGCTAAACCATGTCGTCGGCAGCCGATACGCGCTCCGATCCCGTCGCCATGTAGTGCCTGCAAAGCGGGCAGCTATGGCTGCTCTTCTTCCACACGTCGACGCACCTCCGGTGGAAGAAGTGGCGGCACGCCGGCACCTGGCCGCACGCCTCCCGGTGCAGGAACTCGTCCAGGCAGATCGCGCACACCAGCTTCTTCTCCGACGACCTCCTGCCCAGCGTCGAGTACGGGAAGTACCGCAGCACGACCGGAGCCGCCGTCATCTGCACCGCTGGCGCCGCCGCCGCCTGCGCGACCCGTCCTTGTCCTTCCGCGTTCTCCGGTTTAGGGTTGGAGAAGTAGCACACGCCAAGCAGTAGCAGGCAGAACGCACAATACAACACGATACATGCGATGTCCGCCGCCGTCGCTGGCATCGCCGTGGTCGCCCTCGGTATTTTAAGGGCTCTAGAGATTGGTTTCCATCAATGGCAAGATGGATACCGTACTCGGACATTCGGATTCTGATATACTCCCTCTCTCTCAGTTTTCAGTGTCTGCGCGTACCCGTAGATCGTCAATTTGACCAACCTAATACAAGTCATATATTACAAAAAATATACCAATATAAACTTCAGATATTCTATTTTCAAAAGGTATAATTTTTATGTTATGTAGTTTATATTAGGTTGATAGAATTGACAACCTAGGTATACGCGTAGGCAGTACTGCATGTAGGACTTGTAAACTGAAACGGAGGGAGTAGTATAGTTTGGTAGTAGTACAATACTGCTTGGTTTCAGGATTTGGAACAGGAGAATATTGCAGGATAAACTTCGTACGGATGACTTAAAAGGCTTGGATACTTCCTTGGGAATCATGGCTGTTAGCTACTTAGGGTTTCGAGCCCAAAGCTCAACTATGAAAAAATTAGAGGGTGCTTAGATACGTTTTAGTCCCATGACTAAAAGTAGTGGGACTAAAACTTGTTAGCCTCACCCATGCTTGGATACAAATACTAAATAGACTAAAATAGAGTTAATGAGCATTTATTATCCTCCAATCCAGAACTCGCATGTGTTAAAGGAGAGGAGTTAAATGAGGAGAGAGAGGACTGATCCACATTTTAGTAGGGTTCCCCTGACTAAAATATTTTAGTCTCAAGACTAGTTCTAGCCTTTCTTTAGTCAGGGGTGATTAGAATTTTAGCCTCTAAAAGAGACTAGTTTTAGTTAGACTAAAAATAGTTTCTTGGATCCAAGCATGCTCTTAGTTAAGGCCTCGCTTACTGAGGAAATTGCACACACCAACAATTATTGGGGATGAATTTGCAGAGAGCGCATGCTTTTCATGTTTTTGCACAAAACATATGTTGGTGTAATCTGTTGCAGATAGTTCTAATCCGCCATTTGATTATGTTGACATGATTCCTTTTTCTTGCCCCTGATAAGTGGCACATGTGCGGCATGAACACATGGCAACTTCGAGCGTTTTTATGGCAAACTAGATCATTGTTGGTGCGCGTTGCTGCGCCCATCTCTTTTGAAGTTTTCTTGACAGATATATATATATATATTTTTTGTAAATACATGAAGACAAGATAACTCATGGAAATGATAAAATAGATTGAAATAACAACGTTGCTCATGGAAATGATAAAATAGATTGAAATAACAATGGAATTGACCGTTCAACCAACATGTATCGTCACAGGTTTCTGGAGCTCTAGAGACAACACATGTATGGCAATCTAACACAACTAAGAAGCAAAATCAGCAGATTAGCAATTAAAACAAAAAAGAAGATATTGACAGCCATGGGTACTGTAGCACACTTACCTGATTAGCTGGACGAACTCCACATGTAGTCTGCAACACTATGTTTTTGTTGGATGCTGCCCCCTGCTGACCAAGTAGTTACATAAAAGTTTCATGTAGGAAGAGCCAAAGACCTCATAAAAAACCTTTCTTTCTTGTTCTTTTTTTTTGCGAAACAACCATTCTTTTTTGTTGTAGAGTGAAGGAAAGCAATGACGGGATGCTATGAAACAAAGACTTCCTATAGTCCGGCAAAAGGAAGACTCGCCATTGCCCTCCGGATAAACATGTGTAGTAACCAAAGCAATGTCCTGAAACAAAGGCTTGCTATAGTCCCGCCAAAAAACACTTGCTATAGTTCTCCGGATAAAGTATGTAATAACCAATGGCAGTGTGAAACAAATACTTGTTGTAGTCATCTGGATAAGTATGGAATAACCAAAGAGGTGTCCCAAATACATCCATTTGTTCCACATAAACATTGAAGTAAAAATGCAAGTTAATTTTTTATGCATAGATAGGTAAATGCCACACTATCAATTCTAATATTGACATTCTTATATCTCAAATATTGAGAAGTATTTATATCATTATGCTTTATTTTTTCTAAAACCAAAGAACAACATATAATCAATCAACGATTTACTTGTGGACTACAGAAAGTTGCAACCTCTTCGCATTGTAAATGGGAGAAATAGAAGAATAATTAAAAATACATCTAAAAAACAATGGTGGTAGTAACGATCAAATACCATAGACAGAAATGCTGGCAACTTCAGTAAGTATTCCTTCTACTCGACTATTGCAAGCATATTCGAGAGTGCATACCATAAATAGATGTTATACAACCAGAAATAAATCACATTGTTGTAAGGTATGAAGATTTTTTTCTCAATCATATTCATCGATATAACCTAACCTGCATGTTTATATACAGCTAGAGCAATGGATAATACCGAGTAAGTGAATCCTTGCTGCTATGTTAGCCGATGTAGCAGTGGTCCTTATCCCATTCAAGTCCTCTCAATTCTGCCTGACAGGTGCAATATTTTGTACTGAAGAATAGTGCACAAGACAGAGAAAGCATGCTTAGTCATCTCCATGATGAAAATTTAGCCTACTGATCTATCAAAATGTAGAAACGGAAGTCAACACCTGCACGACAACCGTCGCAAGATCATGTGAGAGGAGATCCGTTGGGGAGACGGAAGATCGGGCAGCGTAGCAGTACCTCAGTTTCCAGCGTTTGTCTCCAGGAACATAATTTAAGAACGGAACAATATTGAAATATCCGAGGGGATCCAGTGCGGGAGGGAGACGACGCGCTCAAGGAGATTCAGCTGCGGCAAGGCACCCGAAGGAATCCAACGCTTGATGGTATCCAGTCGATCAAGCCGAGGCACGGGATGCAGGTGAATCGGGGGCCGGTCAATCCAGTGACAGTCGACCATGGTAATCCGCCTGCGAGGTAGAGGGTCACCTCTAGCAGCAAACAGTTGCCGGAAATCGAGGAGCTATATAACCATCACAACAGGACCTTAATGGCGACTCATGTGCGCCACTCGCCGGCGATGGATAATTGCAGGGTAGTTGTACACCAGGTATCATGGATAAGATATAACTCATCCACTCAAACTTCCTTCACATCTCCTAATAATCTACATAAGGGAAAAGTTATCAGCTCTTTTGCAACATTTATCCTCTTTCTTAAACTACACTATTGTGTGCCAAAAAGGACACAGTAAATGGACATTTATATTAGAATCTCACAGTACACTAACAAAAAGGAACTTTTGCTAGATACAAAGAATTGTTGTACAGCCAGCTACATATACATAGTGAAAAAAAGGAGCCACCGAAATGTTCTTGGATTCTAATGGATTCATTAATCTGTACCTCTTAATCCTTAAATAGCATCATCTCTATCACTAATTTGTATTCTTGACAGTAGTCAGTTTAGATGTATTCTTCAGTTACTAACTGATAGAAACAAACGTTGTTCTTTCACATCGTACAACACCACCAAATGTACTTATCTAATTATTTACTTCAAGCAACTGGGAGCAATGAATACCAGGATTGTCAAATTATATAGAACTGCAAGTGATAAATATTTTCAGTCCAACAAACATTTTTTATGGACAAAACGAAAAACGATAGAGAGCGACTGAACCTATGCCAATAACTTGCAGTGGCAGAGTGGCATCAAGCTGACACAAGCACATGTCTTCGGTGCTCCAAGACCCGGCCTCCTCCAAATCTCCCTTGAGGCTAGTGGCGCTCCACATCGGACGGCCTCTCATATACAAAAGAGATTGACCTAAACCTGGCGGCGACGCGCGCGAGTGGCTGCGGCAAGGACCAAGGAGCAACGGTGACGGGGAGGAGGAAACATCGCACATCTGCTACCGGTGGGATCCTGTCGAGCACTGCATCCTCGCAGGCGTCGCCTTGGCCGATCCCCTACTGCGTCGGATCACTGGCAAGCCTCGCCTCGGATTGATCCCCACCCGCACTGGAATCCCTCGCGAGGCTCGATAGGCTGGATGGAAGAAGAACGCATCAAGTGTTTTGTTGAGGGAGGAGATGCCATCGTGGGCGGCGGCTGGGAGAGGAGGGGCATCGTGAGCAGCGAAGGGAGGTGCTCGTTCGCTTTATTTTTTTTCAAGGCTGAAGCAGGCTTCACAGCCTTGGGCCGAGTAGGAAAACTGGCCCGATTAATGTCAGGGCTCCAAAATAGCTACGGGAGTAGCTGCCCTTACGACGTTCGGCCCAGTTCGCGGCTAACGTAGCGCTAGCTTTAGATCGGAGGGCCAGAAACGTTTAGCAAACGAAATCAAACGGCTAGAAATTCCTAATTCATGAGGGAGCAGGGATTAGGCTCAGTTTTACTGTTCTTGATTTAGTGACACAAAGATGACAAGTTTAATTGTCAAACATGACAACTTCTTTTCGGATGACAAGTTTCAAGTTTTTTGGGTTTGTTTTTTCTTTTCGGATGACAACTTTAGTTGTAAAAAATATTAGGTTAGAGTGCTTTGTGCCACATGTGTGGCATTTATTATTTGTTCTTTTAGTTAGACATAATTCTTAATAGGTGGGTCCTGCTTGTAACTGCACAAGTGGCATAGCCAATATCTCCAAAACATGTGGGCTAAATAAGCTAAAAATTCCCCAATTAGTATGTGGTATATACAATTTATTGGTATTTGTTCTTTTAATATTATGTTTTTTAAAAACTTATAATGAGCAACTAAAACTGTGAATACTTGCAGTTTTTATTTGCCTACAGATGTGACATATTTTTTGGCAGTTGTGCTTGTGCACTTACAAACGGGATCCACTCAGCAGAAATCATGCCAATATAGTCAAATAATGGATTAGAGGTAGACGCAACGGTTTCCACCAATAGGTGGTTTTTGTGCAACAAACCTGGAGAGTACGTGTTTTGTGCAAAATTGACCCCATTAGTCGTAGGTTTTTGCAATTTCCTCTGCTCATTAGGGACACTGCTCATCGTCGATCGACCGATCCAGATTGTGATTGGCTACCTTCCGAACGGTTTGATTGTCGTGTATAGGGTCGCACGATTTTGGTCCCCTTCGCCCCCATCTCCGCAA